GAAATAAGGTAACAGGGGATGATTGAAAGGTCATGAGATTTTACAATCTACAGCGAAATCATGGATCTTCGCCTTATACTCGTCCGACTCGAGCAAGGCATACAGTTTCTTTAACTGGTTATTAGCCCCGACGAAGTTGGTTCCGTTATCAGAATAAACGTGAGTTGGAATAGTTTTCGACTTACAAACCGCCGGAAAGCGACCAAAAAGGCATCTGTAGTCATATCGCTGACTAATTCGATGTGTACAGTCTGGATAGTCATGCAGAGGAAGATGCACCCGTATATTTTAACGCGACCTTTATTACGGTACTTCTTTTCTTTCGCGTAGATTAAACCGAAGAAATCCTCTTCTACGTGGGAGAATGCGATGGCTTCCTGTACTTGCGAGCTCAGTAAATCAACCGTTTTACATCGGATGCCGGTTGTACGGAATCAAATGCAACGTACGCAATAACGTACGATTCTTTACACTCGATTCTTGCCGTCGATGAGCCAAAATCGTTGTTTAAGGGCTTAAAGGGTTGTCTGTATACCGGCGTGAAAGTTTTGTTCGTGGAATTTTCGGATAAGGAGATCGATCATGTGGTAGTGTGAGAATAATAATTTTGTATATTTCTCCTGGAATGATTGAATTTGCCTTCGGAATCGACCTCCCACTTGGTATAAGTCATCTTTGACAAGGATCGGGTTTAACGCGGCGAGTATTGTGTTACTGACTCCCCCCGCTTTTTTTAATTTTTTTCTTTCGGCGTGAAATTGTTCCTCTTGCACGATCATTAAAACCTATTGTTCCGTTTCTGTTATTTCCGCAGTAGACAATTCTCCCTTATATGAGTTAGTTTCAAGCCATCGTCGAAATCGAGCTACAATTTTTAATAATCGCGCGTAATTGGAGAATCGCTGAAATACACTTCCTGATTTAATTCGCGTCGTTAATACCGATAATCCCTTTACGTCTGGTAATTCGAGAATTTTCCTTTCTGTCGGGATGGGCCACTCAGTTTCTAGTTGTGCGAGCCAGGGTGGTCCATGAAACCATGCCTCGTTCCTCAGGAGATCGTGCGGAAGTTGTCCCCTAGATAAAGCGTCCGTTGGATTGTCTTCGGATCGCACAAGTCGCCATGTGATATCTTTACAGATTTCATGTATTTCGCGCACGCGATTCGCCGTTTATATTTTTAACGTATTGGAGTCTCTTTTCAGCTAACCCAGTACAATCATCGAGTAGGACCAGAAAGTTACCTCGTCAGGTTTCAATCCGCCAGCAGTCCGGACTTTTCTGTATAAACGCGCGAGTGTTAATGCTTCGCATAATTCTACACGTGGTATGGTGGTGTCCTTAAGGGGAGCTATGCGACTTTTCACGCAAAGTAGACGTACATGTGTGTTAAAGAACTCATCTCGCGATATTACATATAGGCAGCCGCCGTAACCAGATTGACTCGCGTCGCAGAAACCGTGCAATTGCATGTCGATCGGGTCGTCGAGTGTAATGCGTCGTTCTATCGTTAAATTATCAATTAATGTTAATTGTTCCGCGAACGTTATTCAAGAGATATGTAACGCGCTGGGCACCGATTCGTCCCAGTCGACGTGTGTTTTCCAGCAATCTAGGATGAAGATCGTCGTTTGGAAATTCTCTTGCGAATGTCTACTGGCGCGACAAAGTAGAATAAACAATCATGATGTGCGTTCAATGAAATACCGAGTGTCTTTAAAATAGGATTTTCCCCAGAGCATAGCTCGACGTCGACGTTTTTTATGTCTAAATTTTCGAGCACTGGTCGGAAGTTAGACGCCAACTGTCGTATATTAAACCGCCTTGTTTCAATATTTTAATAGTTTGATCGCGTCTCTTTCCGAGGTTTTCGATGTTATCAGCTCCCGTAATGAGGTCGTCAACGTATAGATCGCGGTTTAGTATTTCGGCTCCGAGTGGATAGTTTCTTCATCTTTCCCGAGTTGTTTTATGGTTTGTATGACAAGAAACGGTGCTGACGCTATTCCGAATGTCACCGTATTGAGTTCGAACGTGCAAATTTGTTCATTATGCCACCAAAATATCCGTTGATACTGGCGATCGTCTGGATGAATCCATATATGCTGATACATTTTCTCGATATCCGCCGTTAATACGTACTGATACATCCAGAATCGTAACAAGTGTTCTACTAAAGTGTCTTGTATTTTAGGTCCGACTAATAAGGTGTCGTTGAGAGAAAGTCTCTTATCATTTTTTGCGGAGACGTCAAATACGACCCGTACCTTTGTTGTCACGCTAGATGATTTAATGACCGCGTGGTGGGGAAGATAGCAACCCCCTATAGGTCTTTCTTCGACGATCGACATGTGTCCTAAATCGATGTATTCCCGCATAATCCACTTATATTCCTTCCAGAGTTCGATATTCGCGTGTAACTTCTTCCAGAGATTATGGAACCGACGTAGGACTATACCGCGTAAGTGATTGTAATCGTGTCCCTCTTCGCGGAAGGGTAAACACACAATATATCGTCCCGATTCGTCGCGCTTGGTGTTTTGGACATAATGGTTTTCGCAGTCTATTTCGTTTACCGACTCCGATCGCGTTATATTCGTGTTCTCCAATAAACAAAACTTTTCTAACTGTTCCTTCAATTCGGTTGTCGCAAAAAACGTATGGTTTCTCTTATGACCGTAAGATTCGATTCCCCCGGCGACCATTCAACCTAATTGCGTTTTCTGGAGCATCAAATCACCGCGTCCTGGTGATAAAGAAAATTGTCTTATTGACATGAGTTCTAGCGTTGTTACGGAGCCTATCAAGATGTCGACCGGTCGTGGCAAATGGAACAAGGGATCTGCTAGTTTTCGACCGAGCGGGATTTTATCGAGTTCTAGAGGGAACACTTCGCTGGGTACCTAATCGGCTATCTTAGGAACGATGAATAGTGAAAAGTTTCGACTATATTTATTATCTAGTGATCGAATGTTCGTCTTGATAACGCCTGTCGTTCGAGTTATGGTGTCATTGATAGCATGAATGGGAATCGAATGGGGTTCAATCGGTAAGCGTGACTCTTACGCGACATTCTCGGTAATGAAATGTGTGGCGACGCACGTGTCTAGTAACGCCCGACATTGTCTGAAAGTCGCATCGAACTTTCTAACACGATACATGGTACTCATTAGGAATTGATTCGGTACACCGTGCGAATTGACATGAGAGTCGGTATTAGTCGAGTGGAGATGTCGACGCGGTCTCYGTCTTCGCGGCGGTGTGGCTTTCCTGTTTCGTAGTCTCATGCTCATCATTGTCTATATATAATGACGTATGATGGGCCTGGTGACATATCCGACAACGCAAGGCTCTACATAGTTCCCGGTGCTTTCGTAAGCAATTCTTACATGATTCGTACTGTTGGATTGTTGCCAGTCTGTCTTGTTTCGTCATGTCGTAGTATCGGGGGCAACGGTATACAAAATGTTCATCTCGTTTGTAAAGAACACAATTAGTCGAGGTCAGAGTAAGAAACGTACGCGTTGTATAGGTATTCTGTCGCTTTCGCGGTCGTAAAGTCATCGTCTCGGGATATCCACATTTTGCGCGGGGCTCGTGGGTCGCGGGCGTTAGTGAAGTTGGCAACGGAGCACACGAACGCGCATATCTAGGTAAATAACTAAAAAATTGCTCGATAGTAGGATATTCGTCGGAATCTATCTGTTAGTTCCATTCTTGTAGCATGTCGGGGGGAAGCGCGCGCGTTCAGCGAGGCGTACGCGCTAGGCCACTGAACTCCTATCAAATGTCTCAAGCGTAAAGATGTGAGAACGCAGTTCGTTAAATAACGCTGTTATGTCCTTCGCTGGTTTTCGGTCGAGGTATGTCGATTAATGCGTCGATTGCCCGAGCTAATAGTATACATGGTACGTCGAATACTTTCAGTAAGGCTCCCTACGTATCCTTATATTTTTCCCCGGTTAATTGATAGTGTTCGATCGTTTGAAGGGCTTTGTCGCGAAGGGAGTCGAGGAGGTAGACGAGCTTTTTTAATTCCGACACATCACTGCGCCCGTCCACGAGGGTTAAGAAGCTAGATTTAAATGGGATCCATTTCTGTATATTCCCGTCGAATCGCGGGATCTCTAAACGCCGTAATTGTATTTGTTGTCGCGAATCTTTGTAATATCGTTGTTTCCGTTAGAGTTATTAGGGGTGTCGACCGCGGCGGTATCGACTGAATGAATTTTGTTTCTGATCACGTGGTATCTCTTTATAAGCTGGTCTAAATCGTCGACTCCTACATCTCCGGCGTTATTATTACCACACTTTTTATGCAATGATTTGTAGTCATCTACTTGCTTGGTAAGACGTTCGTAACGTTTTCTTAATTCATCTCTACCTAACCTTTCTTCTTCAATTAAATTCTCGAAGTGCATTAACCATGATCCTAAATTCTGCCGCTTTTGTTTAAGCTGTTTTTGCGATGCCATTATGAAGCGGTATCAATTATTCTATTTTGCGAAAGCTACTCACATCAATTTGTGGTAAATATAAAAATCTCTTTTGTACGAATGTATTGCCGTGCGTTTGGCTTTCGATCACGCGAGTACGGTCCTGAGGCTATAGATCGTTAAGGGGGGTATACGTTTATCGTTAGTAGTAGGCTCAGGGAGGGTGTATACGATCGTCGCTAGCTGTATGCCGATAGATGGGGTGTCCTAGCGCCCCCTGGATAAACGTATGCAGGACGTCTCTGCGTCGCTCCGTCTTTCATCAGTGGAAAACTAGTTTTATTGCGATCTGCAATTAAAAGTGTGGGATCATTGTGAAATGTAAAAAATTCTGCATAGGTGTGATATAAAAGTTATCTGCTTAACGTTGATTAACAAAAGTTTCCAACGTAAACATTTATCGTTTTCTTGTGGCATCATTTCGTTCGTCAATCTTGAACGCGTGCGCCGCTTGCGCCATCTCTATCTAGTCTTTGCGTGGAACTTGTAGCATATACCATCTGAGCTTCAAGTGCGCGCCACTAGCGTCACATTGAGAAACTATTCTTCTTACGCTGCTTCATGAAGCATTAAAAAAAAACAAAAGTCACGGGTGTACTGCGGTCTCATCGAAATGAGCAGATTTAATAGGTTAGCTGAATTTCCAGTGCTGCAAAACAAAGCAGTGGAAAAAATCGAATTAGCGAAAAACCATTCAGCGGCTCAAGACAAAGCAAAAAAGAGAAAGGATAGAAATGACAAGGAGCAACATTTTGAAAAAACTATCTCTAAAAAAGCAATGAAAAAATGATTAGTATTAAACTGCACAGAACAAATGTCACCTTTAAGTGACATTGAGAAAGAAATTAGGAGCTATAAACGGTCTGACCAAGAACATAAAAATATGAAGTTAGAAGAGATGGAAAATGAAGACCTACAAGAAATTAAAACCAAGTTCTC